CCCAACGTTCACGCCAGTGCAAGCCTTACCTGTCAAGGTCCAACAACTCCAGGTGTCTGCGTCTGTGTCCTCAACTGACCCCTGGTCATCCGCATACTTCCGCCCGCCGGCCTCAGATCTCGCCGAGGGCTCCGACGACGCTACTTCCCACGACACCACACACCTGGCCGCCTCTATTCCAACGACACACTCCTGTTGTACTGTATCTCCTACAGACACACTCCTGTACTGTATCTCCTACCAACACACTCCTGTACTGTATCTCCTACCGACACACTCCTGTTGTACTGTATCTCCTACAGACACACTCCTGTTGTACTGTATCTCCTACTGATACACTCCTGTACTGTATCTCCTACCGACACACTCCTGTTGTGCTGTATCTCCTACAGACACACTCCTGTTGTACTGTATCTCCTACGGATACACTCCTGTACTGTATCTCCTACCGACACACTCCTGTTGTGCTGTATCTCCTACAGACACACTCCTCCTGTACTGTAGCTCCTACTGATACACTCCTGTTGTACTGTATTGCCTACCGACACACTCCTGTTGTACTGTATCTCCTACAGACACACTCCTCGTGTACTGTATCTCCTCCTGACACACTCCTCTTGTACTTTATCTCCTCCTAACGTCAGGTCGCCGTGACCTTCCACTGTTCTCCTTCAGTAATCCCAAGCCCTCTCTCTCTATCTATCTCTCTCTCTTTCCTTCTCTCTCCTTTTCTCTATCTCTCTGGATCTCTCGCTCTATCTCCGTCGCTCTTACCTTCCAAAAGCTTCGGGTGACATGTCATAACAGTCCCTGCTTCTTTCTTCAGAAATATTTTCTCTCTCTCGCTCTCTTCCTCTCTCTATCCCTCTCCCTCTCCGTCTCTCCTCTCTCCCTTCTTTCTCTCTCGGACTCGTGGGGTTTCAGAATCCAATCCCCGAGGCTTGTGCCTTATCCTGTTTTTCTTCCAACGAGGCGTGACGTTATAGCGAATGTCTTCACGGCGCCTCCAGAAATAATGGACGGGGGTATTTAGGGGCACATGCTGCTGCATACGTTGCGCACCCCTTCCTTCCTCACCTTCCCTTCACTACTGTCACAAAATGTCTAGGTCATTAACCTAGAAAATGAACGGTGAGAAAACACGCTCGTTTCAGACTTCACAATTGCTTTCTTTCTATTTCCCCCCCCCAAATTGAATTAAAGTCTTCTTCCAGATTCACGGAATGTCTTCGTAATGAAATGGCATGCTCTTTCGCGCAATTCTTCTGTTATTTCTAAAACCGCAACCCTTCCCCCAAACCTTTGGAATCTTGCGTATACATGATAAATATATACATAACAACAAAAAGCGTGATATCGAAAGAGACATAATACAAAGAGGGAAAGAGAATAAGAAAATAAAAGGAAAGAAAAATAACGAAATTCTCAGGTTTACGCTCGGTACCAATTTCTAGGTGTGTTGGAATGATGAAATAGTGTGGACTTACTTTTTTTTAAATTAAATCTTTTAATAAATGTTTTTGCGTCCACTCGGTACATATTAGATTATTGAGGAGGCGGGGCCCTCCGACACTGTTTGTCGTCAGGGAAAAACCGGGTTAAGAGGGTCAACACCCAAGCAGAAAGACCGAAATGCTCCGTAGAAATTTCTCGCTACTCGTGAATCGAACTCGGGTCACCTGCGTCCACTACGAAATAGTTAGAGTTCCCGCTCTTCAAAAGAGATCGAAGAGAGAGAAATATAATATCAATGTAAAGTTTTTAGTTTTAGTAGAGGGTTTACGGCGCTCGCAACTGCATAAGGTCATAATATGAGCGCCAGAGATTAGAGGTGTTACAAGAGAGTAACAAACATAAAAAAGAAGAAGGGGAGATAATGACGATGTATGTTTGTTTGATAGGAAAGAAGAAGCAAACCACACCAGAGCACCCGCCAACCACCAACGTATATCTAGATAAAAAACAAGCATTTTATTTATAACTTCTCATAAGGGTTGAATTAAGATCTTTATTTTGTTTTTAAAATTTTATAAAAATGATTTAAACATATAGATCTAGTAAAGTCCGCTTAAACTTCTGTCAAAACCTGCGGAACTGTGGGATCAGGGTGATCAGACCGCGGCTACTTACGACTACCGATTGTCACTGGTGCTCTCTCTCTCTCTCTCTCTCTCTCTCTCTCTCTCTCTCTCTCTCTCTCTCTCTCTCTC